CTCCAGGGGTCCAGGACCTCCACCTTCAGGCATATGGCTGCGTGAGTCTCTCAGACATCTTTTGTGTTGTGTGAATGTCCTTTGTTGCTATATGAATGTCCTTTTTGTTGTCTCTTAGAGGGGCGAGTCTAAGGGAAGCGTTCATTCTGCCGTGATGCTGACATCACTCCTCTTCAGTTTCAGTGTTTTTTGTCCATTCTTTCAGATTTTCCACCTAGACAGTCATGACATCTGTGAACACAGACAGCTTTTTATCTTCTTTCCCAATCTGTATACCTTTTCTTTCCTTTTCTTGCCTTAATTGCATTACCAAGGACTTCCAGTACAATGTTGAAAAGGAGTGGTGAGAGGGGACATCCTGCCTTGTATCTGATCTTAGTGGGAAAGCTTTGAGTTTCTCACCATTAAGTATAGTGTTAGCTGTAGGTTTTTTGTGGATAGTCTTTATCAAGTTGATAAAGTTCCCTTCTATTTCTAGTTTACTAAGAGTTTTTATCATGAATAGGTGTTGGATTTTGTCACATGCTTTTTCTGCATCGATTATGATGACCATGTGATTTTTCTTTCTCAGTCTATTGATGTGATGGATTACATTAATTGATTTTTGAATATTGAACTAGCTTTGCACACCTGGGATAAATCCCACTGGGTCATGGCATGTAATTCTTCTTACACTTTTTTAGATTTCATTTACTAATATTTTGTTAAGGATTTTTGCATCTATGTTTATGAGAGATATTGGTGTTTTGTTTTCTTTTCTTGTAATGTCTGTCTGGTTTGGGTATCAGGGTAATGCTGGCCTCAAAGAATGAGTTAGGAAGTATTTCCTCTGCTTCTCTCCTCTGAAAGAGATTGCAGAGAATTGCTATAATTTCTTCCTTAAATGTTTGGTGGAATTCACCAGTGAGCCCATCTGGGCCTGCTGCTTTCTGTTTTGAAAGGTTATTAATTATTGATTAAATTTATTTAATAGTTATAGGCCAATTTAGATTGTCTATTTCTTCTTCTGTGAGTTTTGGCAGACTGTGGCTTTCAAGGAGTTGGGCCATTTCATCTAAGTTATCAAATCTGTGTGTGTAATATTATTCATAGTATTCCTTTATTATCCTTTTAACTTCCATTAGGTCTGTATTGATGTCCCCTCTTTCATTTCTGATATTAGTAATTTATGTCTTTTCTCTTTTTTCTTAGTTAGTCTGCTTAGAGGCTTGTTGCTTTTGTTGATCTTCTCAAAGACCTGGCTTTTGGTTTAGTTTACTTTATTGATTTCCTGTTTTGAATTTCATTGAATCGTGCTCTAATTCTTCTTTTTACTTTTCTTCTGCTTACTTTGGATTGCATTTGCTCTTCTTTTTCTAGTTTCCCAGGGTGGAAACTAGAGTATTTATTTTAGATCTTTCTTCTTTTCTAATGTATTCATTCAATGCTATAAATTCCCCTCTAAGAACTGCTATTGCTGCATCCCACAAATTATAGTAAGTTGTGTTTTCATTTTCATTTAGTTCAAAATATTTTTTCTCTTGAGATTTCTTCTTTGACCTGTATGCTATTTAGAAGTGTGTTGTTTAAAATCCACATATCTTGGGATTCTTCAGTTATCTTTCTGTTATTGATTTCTAGTTTAGTTCCATTGTGGTATGAGAGCAGACACTGTATGATTTTTATTCTTTCAAATATGTTAAGGTATGTTTTATGGTCCAGAATCTGATCTATCTTGGTAAATGTTCCATGTGAGCTTGAGAAAAATGTGCGTTCTGCTGTTGTTGAATGAAGTAGTCTAGAGATGTCATTATTGATAGTGTTGTTGAGTTCAACCATGTCCTTACTGATTTTCTGCCTGCTGGATCTTTCCATTTCTGAGAGAGGGGTGTCAAAGTCTCCATTTATGATAGTATATTCATCTGTTTCTCCATGAAGTTCTGTCAGTTTTTGCCTCCTGTAATTTGATGCTTTGCTGTTAGGTGCATACATGCTAAGGATTATGTCTTCTCGGAGAATTGTCCCCTTTATCATTATGTAATGCCTCTCTTTATCCCTGGTAACTTTCATTACTTTGAAGTCTTCTCTGTCTGAAATTAATATAGCTACTCTTGCTTTCTTTTGATTAGTATTAGCATGGTATATTTTTCTCCAACCATTGACTTTTAATCTATATGTGTCTTTATATTCAAAGTGGATTTCTTATAGACAAGTATAATTGGGTCATGTTTTCTGATCCACTTTTATAATCTCTGTCTAATTGGTGCATTTAAACCACTGACATCCAAAGTGATTATTGACATAATGGATTAATATCTACCATATTTATTACTATTGTTGCCTTTGATATTTGTTTCTATTTTTGTCTTCCACTCTTTTCTTTTTGTGGTTTTTATTGAGCATTTTATATAAGTTTATTTTCTCTCTTTTCTTAATATGTTATACTTCCTTTTTTACTTTATTTAGTGGTTGCCCTAGAGTTTGCAATATATATCCAAGTCCACTTTCAAATAGCACTATACCAGCTCACAGGTAGTATGAGTACCTTATAATAACAAAATAATCCTAATTCCTTCCTCCTATTCCTTGTATCATTGCCGTCACTCATTTCACTTATATATGAGCAGACATAAGCATATATATTAATAAGATATATATGTAGGCACACATAACTGAATACATTGTTGCTATTATTATCTTGAATAAATTATTATTTGTTAGATCAATTAAGAATAAGAAAAACAATGGGGTCAGACTGGTGGCGTAGTGGTTAAGTTCACATGTTCCGCTTTGGCAGTCTGGGGCTGGCAGGTTTGAATCCTGGGTGCGGACCTACACACTGCTCATCCAGCCATGCCATGGTGGCATTCCATGTACAAAATAGAGGAAGATGGGCATGGATGTTAGCTCAGGGCTAATCTTCCTCAAGAAAAAGAGGAGGATTGATGGTGGATATTAGCTCAGGGCTAATCTTCCTCAAAAAAAAAAAGAAAAAAAAGCATAGACATGGAAATCAATGGAAGAGAATAAGGAATCTAGAAATAGGGCTACACAAATAAGGATAACTTATTTTTGACAAAGATAATTCAATGGAGAAAGGGGAGTTTTCAACAAATGGTGCTAGAGCAATTAACACCCATTTGCAAGGAAATTAACCTTAATCCATACCTTGTACCATACACAAAAATAAGTCATAGACCAAAATGTAAAATGTAAAACTACATAACTTCTGGAAGAAAATCCTTGGCGTCCTTGATTTAGTTAAAGATTTTTAAGATAATATGCCAAAAGCACTATCTATAGAAGAAAAATTGATAAATATGACTTCATCAAAGTTTAAAACTTCTACTTTTCAAAACAAACTGTTAATAGAATAAAAAGAGAAGGAATATACAGAGAAAATATTTTCAAACCATATGTCTGATAGAGGACTTGTTTCCAGAATATATAAAGAAATCTCAAAATTCAATAATAAGAAAGCAAATAACCCAATTTTAAAAATGAACATGGGGGTCAGCCCCAGTGGCCTAACGGTTAAATTTGGTGTGCTCTACTTGCGGGCCTCAGGTTCAGTTCCTGGCACAGACCTGCACCACTCATCAGTGGCCATACTGTGGTGGTGTCCCACATACAAAATAGAGGAAGACTGGCAACAGATGTTAGCTCAGGGCCAATCTTCCTCAGCAAAAAAATAAATAAATAGAAAATAAAATGGACAAGGGCTTTAAAGATACTTCACCAGAAAAGACATAGGAATGGCAAATAAGCACATGAAAAAAAATGCTCAATCTCATTATTTGTGAAGAGAATGCAAGTGAAAACCACAGTGAGCTACTACTACACATGACAAAAACAACAAAAACAGAGACAAAAACAAAACTGACAATGCCAAGTGCTGAAAAGGATGCAGAGCAAGTGGAACTCAAATTCTGCTGATGGGAATACAAAATGGTACAATAACTTTGAAAATAGTTTAGCAGTTTCTTACAAATACACACTTAACCATATGAACCAGCAATTTTCCTCCTGTCCCCATGTGAAATGAAAACTAAGTTCACACAAAAACGTGCACGTGACTTTTTATAGTGGCTTCATTCATAATTGCCCCAAACTGGAAACAACTGAAATGTCCTTCAACTTGTGAATACATAACTGTGGTACATCCACACAAGGAAACACTACTCAGCAATAAAAAGGACGAATTATTGATACTCACAACATGAGTAAATCTCAGATGCATTGCACTAAATGAAAGAAGCCAGACTCAAGAGGCTACATTCTGTATGATTCATTTACATAACAATTTGGAAAAAGCAAATGCAGGTACAGAAAACAGGTCAGTGGTTGCTAGGCATTACAGGAGTAGAGAGGGACTGACTGTGAATGAGCTGGGGGAAGTTTAGGGGGTGATGAAACTCTTCTATATCTTGATTGTGGTGTTGGTTACAGGTCTGTAGGCATTTGTCAAAACTCACAGACCTGTACATGAAAATGGGGTGATTTATTTTATATAAATTATACCTCATCTAAAATAGACAAGCAAATGACCAATACACCATTTTTCTTCTAAGATTCAGCTACGTGCTTTTCTAAGTTGGGGTTCTACTTCCCTGCTCCCCCAGGGAAATGTTACCTTTGCCTCCGCATGATTCCACATCCACTCAGCTACTAAGGGCATTGAACCTTCTCATTTTATCTCAAGTTCTCAAAACATAGGAAGGTTGTCATTAGTGATGGTTAAACTGAAGCATTCTGCTTGCACTTGCTCAGCTCGGCTCCAGTTACACAATCTGCTGGGTATTCTAGGTGTCCTATCTGGAATTATGAGGGTCCACATAAGATGTTCCCTGGTTCACCTTCTTCTGTGACCAAGATTACCACCTTTAACTACCTAGGAATCAAGGTAAGATTGAGAGAGAGGCAAATCTCCCTCTCTCTGGTACTTTCCCCGGGTTCCGGAGTCTGGAGCGTGTGCTCATTAGATTCAGTTGTGAGTGACAGAAAACCCTAAACAAAAGGGGTTCAAACAAGTAAAAATTTATTTCTCTCATGCACACAAATTTGGAAAGAAGCAGTGGAGAGCTGGCACAGCATCTCTGCTCCACCGTCTCCAGACTGTGCTCTTCTTCCTCATGAGCCAAGACAGAGATCCAAATGTCACACCATGTTCCAAGCAGCAGGGCAGAGGAAAAGGAGGCAGCAGGGATGCTTCTACCTTTAAAGACGTAAACTGTGAATACCACATCTTTTTACCTCTCATCAGCTAGAATTGGGTTTGTACTGACCACTCCTAGCTGCAAGGAAAATGAGAAATGTAGTCTTTATTGTAGGCAGCCATGTGCCCAGCTAAAAGATGGGAGTCATATCTCTAGAGAAGAAGGAGAAAATGGCTAGTAGAGGCCCACTGGCAGTCTCTGCCACAGCGATGTTGCATTAAGGACATTCCCATTCAATCTTGCCAGAGTAGGTCTTTGTCCTTGAATGTCTTGAAGGACTGAGGAGGTGGCATTTCCATCAGTTCATGGGGTAGGTCCAGTTTTGATGTGGAACTATGGATCTAATGGCAGGTGTCTATGGGAATACAGGGTTCGTTGTGGCCACTGGTTACATGAGATTTTAGTGCCCTATTTGCATTTATGTTAGATTGTGTTGGCTCCAAGTGTGTGCTTTAATAGCTAATAAAAAAATAAGGCAACTTAATATATACTTTATTTGTTGACTCTAATGGCAGCCAAATGACACTGTACAAAGATTTATCAATACATCTAAAATAGAAAAGTGGTGGGCACCATCATACAATACCTGACGTGATACTAAAGGCACCAAACTGGAAATTTCACAGTGACTGGTTGAATAAAATTTGCATTGTGGGTCTTTATGTAGTTAAAAAGAAAAAAATATATATATGTATATAATCTATCACATCAATTAATATTAATTTGGATGCAATTGCCTTTATAGTTGTGCCTTTTTTAATTTGTAAACTTTGTTGGTTTTCATGGTTGTATACAATATACAAACATAAGGAATTTATACCAAGATTTTGTTTGTACATCTTTAGATAACATCATCATAATCATAGCCATGGTCTACCCTGAGTGGACCACAGAGAATCTTTTCCTTTTCATAAGCGTCAACACATTACTCAAGGAAAGGACACAGGCTTGGAACTGTCAAGTCTGGGTACACATTGTGACAGGTCTAGACTGCAATAAGGATCTCCATCTTTAGGCAACGGGTGACCTTGGGCAATGGTTTCCTCATTTGTGAAAATGGTAATGACAATAATGTCCTCCTTGGGATTTGTGGAAGACGAAACGAAATAATATACTGAAAGTTCCTACCTGGTACGGTGCCTGGCTCACTGTAGGTCTGCTTCCCTTCTGCAAGAAGCAGCTCCTATTTCCTTGGTTTTCATCAGGTATCCAATGAAATAAGTCTTTAGGAAAGCACTCCAGAAAATGGCACTGCAACCGAAACATATGGGGAAAGACTAAGTGGAGAAAAAAACTGCAAAAGAAATTGTTCCTTCAGAAGACAATTTGTCAAGAGCACTGATGTTGACCTGCACAGCTGTGGATTTTGTATTGTCCAGTCAATATTAATCAACGCAGAGGAGGAGGAGGAAAAAGAGATGGTCCTCATCCCTGTGGATGCCATGTTGACCTCCATTTTGACTCACTTCTCCACAATGACTAAATTCACCCTGTGTTTTATACTTACAGATTTATTTCTTCTTAAATATTGAGTTAGAGAGAATCTCCAGTTGCTAGCAAATTGTGATTGAAATCACTATCTAGGTATTCTTTCTTAGCCAAATGCTTGGAAGCAAGAAATGTATTACTGACTTCATATTAGACTGCATATATATATATGCTTTTATTTATTATTATTTTAAGATTCTGTGTGGCTTAGTATATGTCATCCCTATTTTGTGAGGAAAGAAAAAAGCACTTTGAGCTTTTGGGGTAAGAGGGAAGGAAAAGGCTGTTATTTAATAAGACACTACTCCTTAATTAGCTTACTTTAACAAATCAATTGTTTCCAAGCATCAGCATGGAGAAAAGTAAGCATTGTTAAGACCAATTTCATAAGACTGAGAGCCCAAGGGAGATTTGGAGAAGAAACCAAAACCCCATGTGATTCTTTGGGAGCGGCCAGCAATTTATCCTAAGAAACAACGCACTTAGCCCCACAACAACTTCCTTAAACCTCCGATGACTCATTTCTGAGAAATAGTGTGGATCTCAAATCCAATGTAACTCAGATAATTTGCAGTATGGGGGGGGGGTCACCAGATTCATGGAAATAATAAAATTGTATTTTCCTCTAAATTTTAGTGGCATATTAGATTCTCTCCAGATGGGAAATCAAAAGAAAAGGAGAAAGCTATGTTCTAGTTAGGGCATTAATAGGAGTTCAGGTTCGAGTTAATGTTGACACAGAGTTTTATTTTTTATTTTTAGCCTATTTTATTTTTTCAGAATTTCTTAGTAGACATTTACCATGAAAAACTTTAGAAAATATCTCTTCATTTCTTCTGCACAATATTGCATTGTGAGATTATTCTTTTTCTTCCTTCAAGAAAAAATGAACTTGCAAATCCTCAAAAATAAAAACTCTGCAGAAAAAGAGAATTTGCTGAGAAGAATGCCATTATCCACTTGCAAATCCTTGCCTTTCTCTTATTCTCTGTCCTGCTGTCTCCTGCACAGTCAACAATACAGCACAGTTTCAGTGGGGTGATCGGTGCTGCAAGAGGGCAGAGGGAAACAGACCCACAGTCGCCTCCTTCAGGGGGAAGACAGCTTCTGTCGACAGAGAAAGCCAAAGCCTCAAAGCAACACTCAGAATTAAACATTTTCTGGATCCTGATTGTTTTTAACATAGCAGCTTTAGATGCCGTATTTTCAAGCACGGGGATGAAAGAGGACAGGTTTTAATCACCGCTGAGGACAAGTCAAGAAGAAACATTTAGGAATGATTAGACACAAAAAAATTCCTGTTAGCAAGTATTATTAAATAAGGAAAAACATTACTTTAAAACATTGGTAAAAAAATCTTTCTTTGGGAATCCATCAAAGCCCTGTGAGGTGACCTCATCCCTCTGGGAAAATTAGATGTGATTTACCCAGAATATGGAAATAATAGCACTGAAGAGCGTTTCTTTCTCTGGTCTACCCCAAGAATGGTGATTTAACAAAAATTAAAAATTTAGAATTAGCATTGAACGTTTCGGTCCTGTACAACAATGTTTATATTATAGTTCAAGAACAAGTTTTTTAAGTGTTTGTTTTTAAGTTACAGTATCCCATGTCAACCCAAACGGTCAACTTCCAGGGCCTGGATTTCAACTGTGGGTGAGCTCTGTGATGTAACTCACCCCCTTTAGCCATCTCTGATCTGGAACTTACTTCCAATCTCTGACGAAGACTGCGAAAGACCAGGCACTCTCCAGAAGACCAGCGTTTTTAAATAACAATCCTTGATTACAAATGTTCCAAAATTTACTTGGAAAACTCAGAAGAAAATTTAAATGACCACTCCCCAATGGCAAAAAGATAAGTACTATGACTATTTTTCTCTCCAGGATGTATGTGTTCCTGTTTCCCTCCAACCACTCAGATATATATATATATATATATACACATACATGGTCTACAAACTGGGGTCACACTAAGCATCATATCACGATTTTCAGAAATTAAATATCTGTCATAAATATGATTTTAAAGTCTGCGGGACTTTTTATTTGTTGCGGCAGTACTGTAATTTATTATTAGTCTCCACTGTTGGCAAATGTGGGCAGCTTAAAAGAGTCACAGGGAAAATGCTAAAATTTAAGTCCTTAAGTTACCTTTGACACTTAGGAAAGCACAATTTACCTAACCAAGTTAAGGACAAGTAAATTTTAGCAGGAAAGAGATGAAAATGGGGAGCAGAAACAGGAATTTGGGCGTCTGGATCCAGGGCATGAGGCCTAAGGCAGCCCCCTCCCCCAACATTTTACACACATGCCATCTAACTAAAATGAGCATCAAATTCCAACTCGGAAGAGAAGAAAAAATACTGGGGGAGCCACAGCAGTATGAGAGAGAATCTGGAAAGGGGCTCTGGACGCGTGAGGACAAACATTTATCTGTACCACAGGATACAATGTACAGACGCGGTATCCTCCCCAGGAGCGCATACGAGGTCCTCTTAACAGTCTGGAGTCCAGGTCTTTTCCCCGACCGAGTCCTGGCGTCGCTTCCAGCTGTGGAACAGCGAAGTCCTCCCAACGCAAGTCCGGGGCTAGGCCGGCCGCTTGTGGACCTCGGCTGCCGCAGGCCGCCGCGGAGGGTCCGGCCTGCCCGTGCGCTGGGCTCCGCGGCGGCCGCAGGTGGAGGCCCGGAGGGCGGCCCGGGGACCCGGCAGAGGGCGCCAGGCCCTCGCCGCGCGCCCCGCGGACGCCCAGGTGCGGCGGGCGGGGAGCGGGAGCCCGGGGCGCCGCCGGCTGGAGGGGCGCCTCCTGCAGACCCCTCGGCGCTCCGGCTCCCGCGGGCCTCGGCCTCCGTAAGATCTTGTTTTGTGTTTTGTTTTAAAAGCCTCCTCCGCCCCCGGACTGCTTGAAGGCGCAAATGAGAGAGGGCGGCAGGGGAGGGAGGGGGACATGGAGAAAAGAGGCGCTGGGGACTGAATGCCTTCTTTAAATTACTGCTGACACCTCGGTTCCAGGCCCCTAAAATCTCAATCAACAATCCATTAGAACTCAACAGGAGTAAAACGAAATCCTCGTTTAAGTGTATTTATCCGATCTCCTTTCTCTCTTTCAAATGCTAAATCCATTTCAGCATATGCCCCCTTCTTTCTCTCGCCTTTCTCTCCAGACTGGCAGCCCGTACCACTCTTGTAAATATGAAAGATGCTAATCATATGACATATCACGTCTCCGTCGGAGCCGGAATAAAGCCTTCAGATTTGGGATCATTGCCTCCAGACAACAGCTTCATCAGCCGGAAAGTTGGTTTTTTTCTCCTTTCCTTCAACTCTCAATCCCTTCTTTGTCTAGAGGAAAATGCAGCCGACTCGAGCCACCCAGGCCATATGGTTCACTCTGTATTTTCTTAGTTGAATTCTGAATTGTTTCTGTGACTTGCGAAGTTTTTTTGGAAGTGCGTATAAAGACATAGAAGAGCTACTTGTGCTGGGAGCGCTGCCCGCGCGCCGCGGCCGCCCCCTCCCGGCCTGGAGTCCCGACCCCGCGGCGTCCGCCAGCGCAGCATCACCCGCGGGACCGGCCGTCCAGGCCGCGGCCGTCTGCTCGCCGGCGGGGCGCACTCCGCGCCCCGCACGGCGCCTGGCACACAGTAGGCGCTTGAGAAATATTTGGAGGAATGAAAGAATGAATAAGTCAGCTCTTAGGGTCGCCCCCAAATGTTTTGGGCTCTAAAGTATCCCTTTGGATCTCTGAAAATAAAACCTAGCCTCGTGCTCTCCTGACACTCTCTATTATATTACAGTTTTTTTGTGTCGATGCAACACACAGTTTTCTGATTTATGTGACTTTTTTTTTTTTGGTCTACTTATTTGAATGTAAGCTCTCCACGGGTAGGAATGATGTCTGCCTCCTGCGTGGCATCGTTCCCGGGGGTCGGTACAGGGCCCGGCATACACTGGGTGCTCATTAAGTGTATTTGGAATGTAGGAAGGAGGGATGGTTGAACGAATGAGTGAAAGTAGTAAACTGATATCCTATTCCCCAAAGGTACAGATTAAAGAATGTTCTCTGCTGAAGTTTGGAACTTATTTATCCCCCAAGTTCAGCCTTATATCAGCAACAACAAACAATAGCTTTATTTCCAGAAGAGAATTCAGTGTTTTGGGGGGTTTTGCTTTTTCCTTAGTGGAGAAGAAAGGAAAAATCAGTTTTCAGATCTGGATCCATTGCTCTCAATAAGTTTTGTGTTTTCCAGGTTCAGGACTGTCCTGCGAGGGAGCAGGCTGCCAAATTTCCTTTCTCTCCGTCTAACTCCTTATACAAACCCCAAAGGGCCCTTTCACCAAATCATTAAATTCTGCAGAGGTGGTCAAGCTCGCACTGCTTTTCATGAGACGGAGAAAGAAAAGGGTCCTTGAAGTTTAGAAGATGCCCAAGGAAAACTCCTTGAATGACATCAAAAGAATGAGTTTCCATAGCTGTTGAAGCACGAGGGCCTTGTATCCGCACAAAGGGGGACCGGGGCACCGGGACGGGCCCACCGCTCTGTCCCAGGACAATTGGGTCACTGAAATAGGGAATTAATTACCATTGGAGAGTGGGCAGCCCATTCACCACTGGCTGAGTTTTATTAAACGCCAATATAAATAACAAAACAACTCTTGTGGCTGCACTATTCCTACACGCCAAAGGAAGGATTATGCTGGGGATTAACATCTTAAAGTCTATGAGACTTTCTGACTCAAGGCTCGGAGCTGGTAATCGTGTTTGTCTCCTGGTTCAGCGATTAGTGCTCTCTTTCTTGCACTTTCCCCTGGATAGCCAATGTCCCTTTTTGCAGGCACAGAGTGTTGCGTGGGCGGGGGGCTTCTCTCCCTAGTGGGCCCCCAGCCCCCCATTCACGGGCCGGCTGTTCTTTTCCCCTCACCTGAGGAAAACAATCAGAAAGCTGGCTAGGATTGGCAAAATCTCCTGCAGTGATTTCTTTCCTTCGTGGGAAAGGAGAAGGGCGCTTGGGCAGCGGGTGGCACAGGGGTGAAGAGAAGCGGGCGGGGCGCTGCGTTCCCGGAGCGGGTGGGAGAGGGTAGGGTCGGCGGAAGGAACCGAGCCTCCTAGCACCTGCCGGGCAGACTTCGCCGCCATCAGGACGACCTTGTGCGTCAAGCTCAAGTCCCCGAATGTTTGGTCTGCGGCACCAAAGCGCGCTGTGCGGCCTTGGGGCAAGGGTGGGGGAACGGGGCTCGGCGCCAGGGACCGACCCTGCCGGGCTCGCGTCTCCGCTGGCTGATTCCGCCGCCGCCACCAGCCGCCGGGAGCGGGCGGGGCGGGGCTGGGCGGGAGGCGGCCGCGCGCCCGGGCTCCGACCTCTCCAGGACTCGGGGGACGCCGAATCCTCCCCGGACAGGGTCCGAGGGAAAAGCCAGGGTGAGACTGAGAATTCCGTGCAGGACTCCAGTACGAGGTGGGGCGTGAGTTTACTTGGTTATTTCTCGTGGCTTCCTGGGCTCCCCGAAGGGGACGGCCCCAAACTCCGAGCTCCCCCAGCGCTCACCGTCACAACGACGAACTCTGGCTTTGCGAGGAGCCCCCTGCAGGGGGAGAGCGGATCCTTCCCACCGCGGCCTCCCCGGCTCGGGGAAACTGGGTTTCTAGCCCCCAGCGGAGAACTAAAGATGTTTGGGATTGGCTAACTTTTCCTCGCCATCTTTCCGCCTTTCGGAGAGGATTAGGATTTAGGCTACAAAGCCCCGCTTGGCAGGCACGTCACCCTGTCCCTTGAGCAGAGCGGAGACGCGCCCTCCCCTAGCCGGCAGGGTGGTTGACTGTGAGTCGGGAGACAGGCTCGCTGGGCAGGCAAACTTTGCTCTCGTTCTCTCCGGGGACAGCGCCCCCCACCCCCACCCCCACCCCGTATTCACCTGCGGGAGCAGGAGTCTGGCGCGGGGACCATTTGTCCTCTTTGGCCCCTTGTGGGGTCGAAGTGTGCATGGGATGTAGCCTATGGCCCCACAGCAACACCTACCCTAAACTTTAGGGCTTTTGGGTCGTCTCAAAGTTCAAGCTTCTTAGGAGGAACAAAGACTTTCTAAGGATCTCTTCCCCTTCACCCCTCCCCTCGCGTCACTTTCCTCTCGCCACACGCACTCGGCCCCTTTCTTTCTAAGGCTTGGGGATGAGTCTAAATCATTGTGCTCGCATTTCTTGATAACTGCCCGCTTTGAGCTTTTGTTCTCGTAAGTAGGATTGCACACTGAAAGAGGGGCTGAAGATGAACAGTTTGACCCTTTGGGACAGTTCACGCGGTGGACAGCAGCGGCCCCCGGTCCCCTGCTCACTGATGCTATTCACACGCTGCCCTCCCCCTCCGCGCAGCATTTCAGCCCCGGTTCATCTGGACAATCTTTTAGACCACACAAGTGCCTCTTGAATTTATTTAAGTTAAAAGAGTGCCAGAAGACTCCAGCTAAGGATATTTGGTGTTGGTCACGTCTTTGCAAATCTGAGTACAAATCGAAATTGCTTTCTTTCAGCAAAACCGAGCAAAATGCTGAACAAACAGATTTCTGCAACTGGCCGTGAACGGTTGGTTTCTGGATCACACCAGCGTTGTTATTTTGTTCTTAGGGTTGTTTCTTTTTTGAGGTAATACTCTTCATGGTGAGAAATATTTCCAGAAGCGTTCTGCTATCAAGAGTGACGCTTCAATACACACAACCAAAATTCCAGAATTCCAAGATGACAGAGAGGGTGGTTTTTTTAAATGCCTGTACTTTGCACAGTAATCTAGCATACACTCCAAGAAGCCCTTATTTTAAAAATAAAATTCTATAAACTCCATGATATCTTTATATTTACATAGAGATTGACGTGTCAATGTTAGAATGTGTTCACAACCTTAAGTTTCTTGGCATACTTTTTCCTTTTGAAGGAAATTTCTGGAATCAGGAATGTGCAATTTACCCTGATAATATTTTACCATTACTAAATATCTGCACAGGATACACTTAAATACGCATTATTAAATCCTCACTCACAGGCAGCCTAGAAGGTCTGGGTTTTGACAAAGGAAAGTGTGTACCCTTTCAATGCATCATAAAAACATAAAATCTTGGGAGAACATAAAAACTGGGGAGTCAGAGGCCCAAATACTGTTAACAATCAACTAAAGAAATCCATTGTGTGTTTGACGAGCACTGAGCATTAGCCCCAGCTTGATCTTGGTGTTTGTTCAGGGTTATACAAAGCTCATCAGGTTTTCCTTTAAGCCTCGACTTAACTGGATTCCAATTCTGTTCCTCCTCCAAATATATTTTATCATCAAATCAAGCCGGCACTTCCTAGCCAAACCAAAATTTTGAAACCACCTGTCCGAAGAGGTCAGTCTGTGCTGATGCTAACAGAAACCCTCCTTTGTTTTCTATTACACTAATCTATTGGCCTGTCTTTCTTTGCAGGCTCCTCCTGCAGTGAGATGTAGTTATCTAAAGACTGATACCCCACGGCTCCTGCCATCAGTCCAGTACTTATTTTTAGCAGTCTTTGATCCTTTCCTCAGAACCCAGTCTTCTCATCCTCTGTTTCATTCAAATTAACACAAAAATCCTGCATCCACTCCCACATGTTCCTCAGTCTGTACCAGGCTAGCCAAGGCCTTGGAGGGTTTTCTTTTAGGGGATCGTGAAGAGTATTTACTTGTTTGTTTGTATCAGTGGCCACCACCTATAAAATAATGCTAATGGGTCCATGCAACCAAGGAAAGCAGTTCTGGTGTCTGTCACTACTGAGCAAACTCTTGTATTAATTTCTGATTCTGCAGGTTCATGACACAGAGACAGAGACCCAAAGAAGTGGGAGCAAGGCAGATGCTGCATTCCAGAGAGACTGTCTCTTCTTTCTTTTGAAATTTCTGCACCACTAACAAATGAAATCAAGCTGTTCTGAGAGGATTGAGGAGGGAACTGGGGAAATAATGCTTTTAAATTTAGCGAATTTATTTTAAAAGGGGAGGAGATGCAAAACACAAATATCAAGTAGCAAAGTGAAAATCGTGGAGGAAAGTCTGGAGGTTGGAGAGCAGAGGCGGGTGACAGTCTCACAGGGTTTAATTTCCATTTTCTTTACTTTGTGCCTTGCGATCCTGCACGTTACCTCTCTGCAGAAAACATTAAAGCCATGCCAGAACACTAACAACCACTTTCGTCGTCCTCTTCTCTGAAATACAACTTGTTTCCAATTCCTACAAACCGGATGAGACAGAGAGCTGCACACAATGTTCTTTTTCTCTTTCAACTCCTAATATTCCACTTGCGCCTTGCTTAAACTTAATTTGCAAACAGGATCTCAAGGGACCCTCTCCAGTCTGCTGGAGTTCAGATCCATCCCCACTACTCACGCACGGTCTAACTCTCGGCCCAGCACATACTTCTGGGGGCTCTGGTTCCATCTTTGGGGAAAGTCAGCCACGTCGAGAAGACGGTGGGCGTGAGCGTGGGGAGGAGAGAGGGAGGGCGGACGTGCAGTTCAGAACAAGTTTCCTCTCAAGTCCGGTAGCCCTTCAGCTTTTTTCCTATTGAAAAGCCGGAGAACCGGGAGGACCGGCAGCATGTCCCTACAACGCCGCCCAGCGCGGAGCAGAGGTCACGGAAATGTCAGCACAGCTCCTTCACTCACCGGAGCTGCAAGTCGCCCGCTGCTCCTGCTTTGCTCGCCGCCGCCCACGCGGGAAGTCCCTGCCTACCACGCTCTGCCGTAAACTGGGGTTAACCCGGGGAAAATACCACCAGTGTCAGTGCCCGGGGCCTCAGTTTATCACAGGTAAATTGAGGAGGTCCCTTTCAACTCTAACATGTGAGTGCTTTTATTCTCACAGCCTCTAAAGGCCCTTCAACTGCCCTCACCCCATCTCCTCGTCCAAGAGACGCCTCTGTGAATCCGCCAACGTCCTCTCCCTTCACCCTCTCCCGTTAGTCTCCCTCGAACCCAAACACGCTTGCCCAGGGTGTACCCACCGCTCCGCACCCACACCCCAGTCCTCCCTTAACCGAATGAAAGCGTTTTAAAATCGTTTACTATTTGAGACAGCTCCTAAGAGGCTTTGCCAAGAGACGCCCGGCAGCACCAGAGGTCTGCTGTCCCCGGGATGCTGACCCCCATTAACTAATTCCTCGGATCCCGACGTCCGGGAGCGAGGGGGACCGGCAGCGCCGGGTGCAGTGCATGCGCGCGCGCCGGGCGGGGTGGGGTGCGGCCGCAAGGACGGGGGCGGGGGCGGTCGCCTCGGTCTCCCCACCCGCCCCCAGCGCCCCGGCCCCTAATGAGCCGCTGAAAGGGAGCGGGCTCCGGTGCGCGTGGCTCGCAGGCCTCCCGGAGTCCGGGGCGCCCTGATTGGCCAGCTGCGCCTCGAGACCTCCATTCATTAATAAATTAGCGGCACGCTCCAGCCGAGCGCGAGCCACCAATCACAATGGGCAGCGGCGGCGACAACAGCCGCAGCTTGAGCCGATGCCGCCGCCAGGGCTTCTGCCGCTGCGACCGCAGCCTCGAGCTCCAACAGGAGCTTTAGAACCATTTTATGCTGATTAGATAAAGGGGGGAAAGAGAGGCGGGGGCGATGGGAGGAGGATGGATGGCAGGGCCAGG